GGGAGAGGGAGAAGCAGGCTTCCGGCCGAGCAGGGAGCCCGATGTGGGACTCAATCCCAGGGTCCTGGGATCATGACCTGAGCCGAAAGCACACCCTTAACAACTGAGCCACCCAAGTGCCCCTAATCGGGATATTTTAACCTTATCTTCTGAATACCCATGACTGGAACCGATGGGAGGAAGGCAAGCCTTGCATACAGGTGTGCATGTCCCACTGTCAGCATTTCCCTTCATATACCCAGAGCCTGTTTCTGAGTGCTCTGTTTGCTAGACACTGTGTGCAGCGATTTGTGGAAGTTGTCTCATGTTTCAGCAGCCCTCTGGGATAGAGACGTTATCCTACGTAAGAGGCGTGGAAACTTCACCCATAGAGGTGAAGGAATGTGCCCAAGGCCAAAGTGTCAAGCGTTGGAACTTGGGACTTGAGCTCGAACTTCCAAAGGATGCTCTGACCACCACCCCTCACGTCTTCCTGTGTTGTGGGTTAACAGTTCCGCAAGCCATGTGTTTCCCAGTTTGGGCCTTGAACAGGCGGCCTGTAGAAATGCTCAGCAGACTATAGGGCTCCAGACTGGAAGCCTTGCAACAACCTTCTGATTCTCCAAAACATCTGGAGTCAGCCATGTCAGCCTCCTGTGGCATTTCTCCTTTTAAATGTGAGGATAATGGGAAAATCCAAATGATTGATTATTTCAAGTTCTATTTATTAAAGCTAGAGAGAAATCTTTTCTTTTTTGGAGAAAAAGATGACAGTGTAGTAGAAGCAGGTATCTGTAGAATAGTTTCAAGAACACAGAATGTTCCAAAAATAAAGTATACCGAAACGAACATTAACCAAAGGAACTCGTCACATGTCAGCTGTAGACTCAGAAGACTCAGTTTTATGATGAAATGCAGTTGAAACATGTGAATTCTTTTGACTTTAGTTTCTTTTCCTGCACCTACCATAATTTCTTTTTAATACCAAAAGTCTTAATTCTCTTGCTTTTTCAGTAGAGCATTATTTAATGAAAACGTCAAAGTGACTTTTTCCACCTCAAACTCCTGGGTCACCCACATAATGACTACTTCTCCTTTCCCTTAAAGCTTCAGCTGGGTACTGAGGTTGCTTCTCTTCAGAATTAATCTCATGGCTCATCCACACTCTGAAAAGCATGTCATTCCACTCAGCCTAGCTGGCTCTGGGTCAATTTTCAAAGACAAGAGAGTTCTTTCTGCACCACCCCCCAATTTCAAAAATTGTATAACTTCTCCATATTTGTATAAGTCTTTTCAGAAAAGGTTTGTGTATCCCCCAGAGGTGCTCTGGAAAAGACACTTTAAGGGGCTTCTGGGGGGAGGTTATCTGGGAGCTGGAGGCTTGTTCAAAGTGGTTAAAGAAGCTTGGGGGGGCCCTTCTCCTTGGTTTCCAGTTAGGAAAACTCCCATCAACCATCCACACTGCTTCTCTCTTCTTAGCAGAATTGGGTAACAGAAACAGACTGTGCAGTAAAATTATAATAATTGCACAAGACTTGGTTAACTTATTTTTTCCTTTGCCTCCTTTTTTAAAGAAACTTCCTTTTACCATCCCAGAGTTGGTACAGGCATCCCCATGCCGAAGTTCAGACGGAATTCTCTACATGGGTAAGAGTTCTTGTTTTCAACACTGAGACTTTGATCTCTTTGGAAATGAGTCCCAGAATCTGGGAAAGTGGCGCGTCAGAGAGCGAGGTGTGCGGTGACTCCCCACCAGCCTTCTGGGAAAGGTCTTTCTTGCCTCGGTTGTGCCTGTTCGCGCCAGGATCAGCTGACCAATTAAGAAAGGGTTCCCCCCCACTTGGGAGCAGACTTGACACCATTAATATGGTTACTCATTTAACAGGCTTTTAGCTGCTGTGTTGACTTACCCCTGTGATTTAAAGATTGCAACATACCCAGGAGCAATTGGATGAAATTTAAAGTGAACACAATAGTCTGAGCCAAGAAAGGGAAGCCAGGTTCTGCCTATTAATTATAGGACTTTCTTAGTATTTCCTGCTATCAGAATATTGGATAAAACAGCACTTAACAGCTTGGCTAGATAAGCTGCCTTCATATCTATGGGGTCACCTCTTTGAAAGCATCAGATCCCCTGCTTTTCTTTTACCGTGTTGCTGCCAAAATGTCAATAAAAATGCATTTGTAATACAAAGGAGAGCTGTGTTTATCTTGAAATCATAGTAGTAATAATATCCTGTATTTACATAGCAGCTTTCCTTCTGAGGAACTGAAAGTGCTTATTGCCTATTCATGCCTCAGGAGCTTTATGTGTATTCCTGGGCCTCAAGTGCAGGCTGGATTTTAATTTTTTGCCTGGACACAGGGGCTGTTGCTTTCTTCCACACCTTCAGGATGAGGAAGCCCCAAGCCTCAAGATTCAGAGGAAGTGATCAACATAGGCTTTCTCTCTTTCTCCTGAGCCATCTTCTTTTTTAAGATTTTATTTATTTATTAGAGAGAGCGAGCACAAGTGGGGGGAGGGACAGAGGGAGAAGCAGGCTTCCCGTTGAGCAGGGAGCCAGACGTGGGGCTTGATCCCGGGACCCCAGGATCATGACCTGAGCCGAAGGCAGACGCTTAACCAGAGCCACCCAGGCGCCCCATCCTGACCATCTTCTGACTGTCAGTGTTGTCTGTCTGGGCTTCTAACTTTTACCAGCGGTTCATCACTTACGTTGCATTTAGGATAGTGTGTTTCTATCATCTTTGTGTGGTGCCCTCTTAAGTGAGTTCATTAAGCATATTTAAAACTGTGGCAATTGCCCAGTCCATCCTTTAAGAGGTAGCTGAGTTACGCAGACTGTAATGGTCCTCGAAGTCACCAGAAGGGTGTCATGCCAGATGGAAAGGGATCATGGGCATGGCTGTTTGGTGATGTTTTCACTCTATCTGCAGATCTTTTTCACATTAAGATTTTGTCGTTGAGAACAGAAAATTATCATCCATGGACAAGTTTCACATATGTAGACTAGGCCTGTATGTTACACCTGTTGAACTGAAGGTAGCTCCAGCAAATTCTGATGCCCTGTCTGTGATCTGTGATCACAGACATGTGATCTTCCTGACATCTCTGTACTCTGCTTCCAAGAGTCCCTTGAAATAGGACCGTTGGCCAATAAGTGAGGAAGATCCCGGTGACCAGAGGCCATGCCTTACAAAATAGAAATGCATACCTTATGGTGAATGTGTTGACTTTCAGATGGGAGGCCCATGCTACCGACCCAACATTAGCGGGTTGCTCTGGTGTATGTACCGTAGAGACATGTTCACACCTTTTAATCAGCAGACCAAGGTGTGGGGGTGTAGTGTGTGTGCCTGGGGAATAACTTACTGGCTGGAGTCTGGGGCTGAGATAAGTTTGGCCTCATTACCACCAGGTTGCAACCAACTCTACTACCTAGTCCCAGGTACCAGCTAATTAGAGTTATAAACAGTAACTGTAGATCCTCTTTACATGTGGGCTCCTTAGTAGGGGTGTGGAGATCTATGAATGTTGGTTACCAGGGAGGTAAACCCTGGGTGCATTTCTCTATTTATATAGATCCTAGTCTGTGGGAAAAGGATTGTCCTTCAGAGGCCAGGCTTTTCATATTTAAGGCCACTCATCAAAGCAGTGAAATCTATGAGTTTTATTAGGTTTGAAGACATTTTTAAACCATCATTAGGCTATTCAGTTATTATAAGACCCAGTGAGCCAAGAAGTTTTATTAACTCTGCAGTAGCATTCACCTTGTCACCCTCAGAGCATCATAGAAATGTCTTCAACACCAGGAGAACTCTGGGCCTCTCAGCTCAGAAAACATCTGGCCTGCTAGTTTGGCAGGGATACATTTTTTTTCCATATGGGGTGAGTGTAAACCACAGTGTGTCCTTGTGACCTTTCAGGTAAAAAGCAGGACATTTGGTACGTTATTGACCTTCTGACCGGGGAGAAGCAGCAGACTCTGTCATCGGCCTTTGCAGACAGCCTCTGCCCTTCAACCTCTCTGCTGTATCTTGGGCGAACGGGTAAGAAGGGACCTTCTGTTGTGTACAACCTGCCTGTTTCCAGAAAAGGACGTGAAGTAGCCTCTTCCTGGGTCTCTGCTCCGGGCTTCATTCTCTAGAAGGTGGCCAGAGCTGTCTTCTCCAAACACAGATTTTACCACGTTGTTCCCCTTTAGAAGCCCCCCTGATGGCTCCCCATGGCCTGAGGGATGAACCCACAGCACCATAGGCTGCAAAGCCTCCGTGATGCAGCTACGGCCTCTTTTAGCTCCTCTCTGGCTGTATTTCCCAGATTTAAACATTTTCCAATCAGTTCCCAGAATAAGCATTGCTATTTTTAAAGACGTTCCGCAGTAGGTCCCTCTCCACCAGGTATGCACCTGTTTGGCTTGATTTGATCTTGACCCTGAGGCCTTCTTTATAGTGAGACTCTTCCAGCTGGAGCGTCAGTCCTGACCGTTCTCTATTTTCTCTGTATTCAGCTTGAAAACTGAATGGTTTCTTCTTCAGCCCCTCTGTCTCACATTATATCACATGCAGTTAAGAGAAACTGCTTGGCACTTTCTGCGTTCTGCCTGGAGATCTCCTCAGCCAGACCCGCAAGATCCTTAGGTGCTTTCTTGTGCTTTTCCAAGTTACTGCAAGCCGTGGTCCTACTAGTAGAGTGTCTCGTGGTGTGACCTGGGCCACCCCTTTGCAGCTTCCAGGAGCAGTTTCCTTACTGCTCCTTCGGTCTCCACGTCAGCCTGCCACCCTCTCCCTGCCACCTTGTCCCAGCCAATGCCACACGTTTCCATGTGTTGTCGTGGCCCTCTCCCACGTCTGGGTGCCGGTTTCTAACATCAGCTAACTGTTGCTGTATTCTAAACCACCCCATCACTTAGGTGGTTTTAAACGACACCGTGATAAAAAAAATAAAACAGTGATGCGCAATAAAAAAAAAAAAGTAAATAAACACGGTGATATTGATTCTGTGAGTCTTGAGTTCAAGGGCACAGCGCAAGTGCCCTGTCCCTGCTCCACATGCTGTCAGCCAGGTTCACTCATGTGTCTGGGACTTCGGTTCCCGCCCACGTGGCCTTTCTCTTGCCCCGTGGACGACCTGGACGCTTCACACACGGTGTGGGGAGGGTTTGTCTGTTGCAATATAGGTAAGGTCGGCACCTCAGCGGGTGCTGTGGCCCCTGCAGGTGACCGGCTGGTGTGTGTTCTCCAGAGTACACCATCACCATGTACGACACCAAAACCCGTGAGCTCCGGTGGAACGCCACCTACTTCGACTATGCAGCCTCTCTGCCCGAGGACGACGGGGACTACAGTAAGTGCTCCCGGCGGCTCCGCACGGCTGGCTGGGTACGTGTGACCGCTGAGGAAGCCAAACGCTGGGTTTTCTTTTAAGGCACTCTCAGCCACCAGCTTCTGGGCTTTCTAAGGCTTTGACAGTCGGTATTGAAGGCAGGGGCCTGGGCGAGAAGTGTGGAGGGGAGCCTTAGTAGAACGGGTGGGCCATTTAGCCTGAGAGGAGGGAGGATGTGCCTTGTTGAGTCTCTCTGTGTCCCAGAAGGAACGTACCACAAACCCATGGGAAGCAGAACTAAGTACCTGCTGTGACGTGAACAACCCACCCCCTAAATGTGACTCATCCCCTAGTTTATTTCTCTCGTAAACGTTCCCCCAACTCAAATGAAAACTGAAAGCCAGTTTTGCCATCTGAACACTGATACCTGAAAATTTGACAGAAATCTCCTCTGTGGGGCAGATGTGGGCCGTGTCAGTGGTCAGCTTTGACTTTCCATTCCATCAGTTGGTTCGAAATGATTGCTATAAAATATCCGAATCCTAGGCCTCTCCACTGGCTCTTTCCTCCTCACTGTTGACTCACACTAATTGTATAGAGCACTAAAGAATCTTACCAAGTAAATTGCCTTCCCCAGAGTGGTCCTATCTTATGTTTATAAAGCAGGCAGCTCTCACTGTCCTGATGTTGTAGGGCCTGTGCAGGTTCATTGGAAACAAGTGAAATTGTCGGGAGGGTATCTGAGAATACTCCAGAAGCCTTGTTTCCTCTAGCTGAGTGACTGCCACTTGCCAGGACAGAGAGGATGTGGTCACAAGATGGGGTGAGACCGCATGCTTTGTTTATTTGATCTGTACAGAGATGTCCCACTTTGTGTCCAACGGCGACGGGCTGGTGGTGACCGTGGACAGTGAATCCGGCGACGTCCTGTGGATCCAAAACTACGCTTCCCCCGTGGTGGCCTTTTATGTTTGGCAGAGGGAGGGTCTGAAGAAGGTGATGCACATCAACGTCGCCGTGGAGACCCTGCGCTACCTGACCTTCATGTCTGGGGAGGTGGGCCGCATCACCAAGTGGAAGTACCCGTTCCCCAAGGAGACGGAGGCCAAGAGCAAGCTGACGTGAGTCAGGGGACCCTGGGCAAAAGAGGGCAGCCGTGACCCAGACGTCCCGGTCCTGCTGCAGTGTGGCAGACCGTACACAGGATGCCACGGTGCAGGGCACGTCTCTCGGAAGCCACGAGGTGGATAAAGAGCCAGGACTGGCTCAGTCGGAAAGCTTGTAATGCGTATAAGAACCGGGGCATCCCTTGACGCTTCGGAGTTCTCAAGTATTAAATAAATCAGAAATATGGACAGGGATAAGAGACTGCTGATTCAGAACCACAGTACAGTTTGGATCTATCTCAGCTGACGGGAGGATAAGAGCTATCTTTACCTTTTAACTTCCTAAATTTTCTAAATTTTTTACTGTAAGTTATATTCGTTTCCAAAACCAGGGAAAGAGTATTACCGCATGTATGCCTGAGCCTCAGCAGGCTTGTGTTCACCATCCCCGCCTGTTAGCAACCTGCACCTCGCTCCCTTGGCCTTGCCGAATCCCCGTTTCCCGCTCTGCAGAGCTGCTGAGAGAGCGGATGAGACTGGGAGAGTGCTCTCTAAGTTGTACAGCACCTTTCACACGAGAGGTATCTATTGAGAGAGGGTTCAAGAATTTAGTGGACGACCAACCCCAAACTGGCAATGGATGGTAACCACAAGGGGTCTGGAGGTGCAGCCCCTGCCTTTTCACGCTGACCCCACAGACAAAGCCGGACCCTCCCCCCACCTCACCCCTCGATGCCCCAGGCAGGGACAGCCCACCAGCGGGGGGAGCAGAAGCCTCACCCAGATTGGAACTTTTTGTGTATCCCTTTGCTGTAGTCATCCACCTGAGAGCAGCTAACTGTTTCTTAGGGCTTCTGTGGAACCTCTAGACTCCCAAAGAGTCACAATTCAGAATGGCAGCTCGGCTGTCAGAGCAGGCTATGGCCAGGGCCATCTTAGCGGCTTTGCAGTGGCCACGAGCATTCAGTCCTTCCTGGGGGAGCACCGTCCGTGGTGGTTTCTGCAGGCCGGCGTGGGGATGGTCCAGCGCAGCCCTGCCCTTGGCAGATGAGGAAAGCAAGGCTTGCAGTTAGGTGACTTGTGCGCGTCTCTGGAGGCGGTGACAGCTGGGGCCTGCAGTCCAGGTTCCCAGGACAGTAGCCCTGCCTTCATGTCCCCACTGCCCGAGTGCCGGGGTTTAATCTGGTTATTCTTAGCGTGGCATTTGGGGCTGGGATACTTCTCTCCAGAAAGGCCCCTTTTGTGGGACGCAGAAATTGAATGGCTGGAATGCGTATTTCTGCTTGTCTTCTAGGCCCACCCTGTATGTTGGGAAATACTCTACCAGCCTGTACGCCTCCCCCTCCATGGTTCACGAGGGGGTCGCCGTTGTGGTAAGTCTCCTCTGGGCGGCTCACAGGTGCAGCCTCCTCCCAAGCACTCCTCTTCCATTTTGGCAAAGAATGACTCAACTATATTTGAACATCCTGCGGGTAAAGAATGCAAGACACTGGTCTTAGACCCTCAGAAACAGTTTTTGCACATACCACATTCTACTTCTTGAGGAAAGATGCATGACAAGAGCAGCTTCCTAAGCCAAGGGAGCTCGGTCATTCCGCTTTGCTTTCCTGTTCAAGTCTAAACTGCCCAGGCTGCTGTTCACGCCCTCCTCCGTCTCCGTCCGGGCCCTCGGGGCCCTTCTGCCGCACTGCTTGGGGCTCTGTGGGAGTTGTACAGCCCATCTTCTCCCCAGTTCCAGAAGGTTCCTGTTTGCCTTTCTCCACCTTTGTTCAGGCCGTGCCTCACGCGTCAAATGCCCTCCCTTCCTTTTTCCTGCTCAAATCCTTTCCATCCTTTGGTGACCCCTCGAGGCCTCCTCAGACCTCCCCAGCCTCTTCCAAGTGCAGAGCCAGCACCGGGCTCCTGGCCGGAGCTTCTTCCACCCCTCACTTACCGCTGCTTCTCCCAGTAGCCTCCGGAAATTCCACACGCATTCTTCCCAAGTCCCAGACAGAAGAACTTAGATGTCTTGATAAAGGTGTCAGCGCAACAGTGTCATGTGTTGAGGGAGGAGCTGCTGCCATCTGAGGGCCTTTGTGTCTTGCTCTGACTGTTCTGGACCAGCCCCACACTAGAAATCGCTTCCCTTGGGTGCACGTCTACAAGAGCTGCCCCAGACCTCGCTCCTGTGCTTTATTCACAGCCCCGAGGCAGCACTCTTCCTTTGCTGGAAGGCCCCCAAACTGACGGGGTCACCATTGGGGACAAAGGGGAGTGTGTGATCACGCCCAGCACAGATCTCAAGTTTGACCCTGGGCTCAAAGGGAAGAACAAGCTCAACTACCTGAGGAACTACTGGCTTCTGATCGGTAAGAGCGGGTTTTGCATCCGTTCCGGCCGCCACGTGCTGCCCCCTGGTGGGCAAAGGCCAGCCTCGCTAGTGACCATGGTCAACTTGGCACTGGGCTCAGTTCAGGTCCAAGATAGTCTTTTCAGACCTGGGGCCGTTTTTACCCCCAAGGAAAAGAAACAGGGTAGCTGTGTTACCAAGTCAATTCTCAAAAGCCATTTAATGTTCCAAAACCCAAGTACTGAGTTAACCTTTGTGCAGTTCTCTGGCACACTGACCGTCTGTTCGTGCCAGGCACTGGCACTAAGCGCTTGAGAACCCACCTACTCATTTCTGCCAGTAGACACCCTTGTTATTCCACTTAGGGGAAACCAGGGCGATTCCTATGGAAGAGTTCCCTGGGGGCTGGGGGGAGGGGAGGGTTGGAGACCCAGGAGGGTTGGAAGCCATGAATAGATCAAGGCTGGACTTGGGTCAAGGAGCCACGGCAGAAGTCCCTGGTGTGTGTGTGGGGGGGGGTCCCCCCTTTTCCTTTCGCTTCTGTTGTTGCTGTCCTTGCTAATGGCCCTCAGGGGGAATTGGGGGGTCCCGTCAGCCACAGAGATAAGTTGAGATGACACTCGAAGGCAGTGAGTGTGACAAATGAAGGCAGAGTCACGTGAGAAGAGCTGTGTCTCTGGCAAGTGTCCCATGTAATTAGAGCGGGGCAGAGTTTTCTCGAGTTTGATTTGCCTTTGTGTGCCCCGTCTCCCCCAGTTCCGCTGCCTCCCGGCCCCAGAGGTGGTGAGAGGTGGGGATGTGGCCTCGTGAGGGGGGCCAGGAGGCAAGTGGGTGCCAGCTGCTGAGTGGAAGGGGGCAGAGAGAGGGCAGCTCTGGAGGCACCGGGAGGGGATGTGGAGCGGCTCGGAAGAGTGTGGGCCCAGGAGGCCTCAGGATCGGCCCCGAGGCAGCACCCAGGCTGGTGGGGGGTGGTAACTGGGTGTTGCAGACAGGAGCCTGAGCCTCCTGGAGTCCTGATCAGTCCCTTTATGGTTGTCCGGGTCTTGTTCTTCCTGACTCCCTGTAGCCATTTTTTCTCTGCTTATTATTTCTACCAAATAATGGGCAAAGGAGGTAACAGTAATTCTGCCTTTTTTTTTTTGAACAGAAGTAGTTTCAAGAGCATGCGTGAATGGGCCATGTGGGAAAATAGCTGTGAGCGAAGGCCATTAAAATTACAAGGTCACATAGTTTTCTGTACCAGTTAAGGGATACATAAACTGCCCACCAGTGGCTAAGAAGTGAAAAAATTATTGGAAACTAAGGAAATGTATACGTAAGACTATAAAAACTATGGGGGAAAAGTCTTCATGGCTAGGTCGCAAAATGATACCCTTTTAAAGTGGAAAGGTTGTCCAAGTAAGAAAACTGAGAAACTCAACAAAGTATGAAGAAGTAATTAGGGAATCACCCCACACTTCTGAAGTCCCCTGGAGGAACTCCAGAGCTAGTCATTTTTTAGTCAATTTTAAATAAGGAACTACTTGACAATCTTTGCAGAGACTCGGGGCCACAGGTAAAATGACATGCCCTTTTATGTCCAACTGTGTCCTTTGATTTGGTTTTTGGGGAAGACATTAAGGATATCCCCACTTCCACGTTGGTCTTGAAAATAAAATGAGTCCACTTAGCTTGAGCGGTGTGGTCTCTGGGTTTCCCCAGAGCAGTGGCGCTAACCTGGGGTGCTCTTGACTTCCCCTGGGAGTTTTGTCAGACAAGCATGTATGACCCCTGGAGATCCTGATTCAGTAGGTCCGGACATGATGATGATGATGATGATAAATAAATCACGAAGTCCAGGTACTGTTTGTACAAAAATGTGTTGGGATCTCCTGATGATGCTTGCGGAACAGTTGGTTCAGCATGTGGAGCATGAGAGCACCAGAGGCCCAGCTGTGGGAGACGCCTGTCTGTGAGCAGAAGTACAGCAGGAAGCGAGGATCCGGGCCAATCCTGTCTGTAGTGGTCTGTTGCCAGGTCACTAGCAGGGAGGCAGGACTTGAAACACCGGGAGCAGGCCCCGGGGGTGGGGCAGGCAGGGCTCTGTAGCGCAAGTGGACACATGGGAGAGCAACCCGTTTTCTCCTGGGAGGGGGAGGGGGAAGGTTTCTTGTTAGTGAGCCTCAGAGGTACCCAGAGAAACTCACATTCAGATGCCCGGGCCCCATCAGCAAGTCCGATTCCAGGGTCTGAAGCAGGTAGACCCCACACGAGGACATCATGCTTCCCAACAAAGCACGTCTCACAGTTCTCACAGACAAGGGGAAACTGGTGGTGGTTCAAAACAAGACGAGGTTTCCCCAAAGAACGATCTTGTAGAGGGGCTCCTGGGTGGTTCAGTCGGTTAAGCGTCTGCCTTCAGCTCGGGTCATGAACCCAGGGTCCTGGGGTCAAGCCCCGTGTCAGGTTCCCTGCTCAGTGGGGAGTCTGCTTCTTCCTCTGTTCTCTCTCTCTCTCTCAAATAAAATCTTTAAAAAAAAAAAGAACGATCTTACAGAGAACTGATCTAAAGATAAAGATTTTTCCAGATCAAGAAATGTATATAGTGTGGACTAGTTCTTGTTTATTTTTGTCTTAGAAATATAGACCATAGAATCTCTGATAGGTTTGGGACAGCAGTAGAAAGATCATAGGGTGAGATCCGAATCACAGGGAGAGAACACAAAAGGAAAGTGTGTCCTGGGGCCAACAGCCCAATGAGAGAGAGTTAACTGGCTCTTCTGGGTAATATAGGAGTCATTTAACGTTAGAACTAAACAGATTTTCAAGCCATTATCGAATCCCAGTTGCCTATTTTATTCAACTTTGTCTCTCTTACAGTAATATGCACACAGTAGATGCTCAATAAATGTGTAACATATACTAGGTAGTCTTCAAATAGCGTAGAGAACAGTGAGTGAGCGCTGAGAAAACCATGACCCCCTGCTCCCGTAGCAAATGCATCCTGTTTCTCTCTTGTGAATAATTCACCACTTCCCAGGATGGAAGCTCCCATTTAGATAATAAGAATAGAACTCCACCTGAGCAATTTAAATACCAAGGTGGGAACGTGATCACCTTAGTATAGTGATGTTTACAGGGTAGGCCTTCAAGGGAGAACTGCTTGAATTTTTAATGAAGCTTCAAGATGCTTCAGCAGCCCACAAGGTAAATTAGGAATTACCCACAGAAGTCTTGCTCTGAACATATCCCAAAGATCCTGATTCATCTCTCCTGACAAGGACACTTCTTTACCCCTCATTATGAGATCCAGAACACTGTATACCTGCCACTGGGTAATAAAATTTCTGTCTTAATGAGATTTTTCTGGTAACTGCCTCTCCTTTTCTCTTGCTTTACAAATGTGGGTGTTTGCACTCTGGTCCCCTCAGTGGGGAGCAACTGTTGCCTAAGCTTAGCATGGAGGGCTCCCACTGTGGGGAACTGGTCTCATGGAAATTTGTTTCCTCTCATAGGACACCATGAAACCCCCCTGTCTGCGTCTACCAAGATGCTGGAGAGATTCCCCAACAACCTGCCCAAACATCGGGAAAACGTGATTCCTGCCGATTCAGAGAAGAAGAGCTTTGAGGAAGTGAGTGGGGACGTGAACAGTTAGTTTCTGGCTCCTTGTGTCAGGTGCTGGGGGAAGGCATTTGCCCTTGCCTTTGGAGCTTGCAGTGGACTCAGGAAGGGAGAGGAATGCTGGGGAACCCATAGCAAACATCACCCAGTGAAGGCCTGGTGGGTAGGAAGACAGAGCGCTTAGTGAGGGCCGTGGGAAAGGCAGAGGGACAGGGGAGGGAGTTGGCCTGGTGGGACAGAAGTAGAGGGCACCGGAGGACAGAGAACAGCAGAGATGAAGGCCTAGACGTGGGACGAACCCTACGTGTGCAGCTCTGGGGCTGAGACCAGATCTGAGGCCACCAGGTGGGGGGCAGTGGGAAGTGGGACCACGTGCTGCAGAGGAACCATGTTACCGAGCTTTGCTTGGCCTGGCAGTGGAGCCAACAGTTGATGAGAAGAGGAGGTGGGAGACCTGAAGCTTCATGAAGCCACGAGTGGCCCTTTGGAAGCGGCCGGCTTGGCTGCTCGGTCTGGTAGAAGCTTGGTCTGGCAGGGACCCAGCGTGCCCACAGAATGAAGATTTGGGCAGCAGGGAGGCCCACCCAGGTGGTAGCTGCCATGAGCTTCTGACCTGGGCTGCCCTCCTGCAGCTCTGGAGAGACAAGAGTGCCAGGCAGGGTCTCAGCTGGATGCAGATGGCCACCCAGATTAGGATGGTCAGAGGGGAGTTAAGAAAGGGATTATTCGCACAGATGTGGACAGCCCTAGGGGTTCTCTTAGCATCCTTTAGCCTGAAGTTGGGAGGTGGAGCTTCAGTTGACATACTCAGAAACCCCAAAGAATTGGACCTCCTTTCCCTCCCCCTGCCCCATCTGCTGGTGTCCCAATCAGGAACCAGAGGGTAGGGAGACTCTGCTGTGCCCATAGGTGGCCGCCTTCTGAGGCAGAGCAGGTGGAGAAGGCGGGAGGGTGGTTCTGCAGGGGGGGGATTCCAGCATGGCCAGTGGGGTGGGGAGGGCGTCCAGAGAAGCCATTTAGACTTGGCAACTTCTGCAACCCTGCTGTGGGGGACTCGAGCCTGAGAGGGGCCTGGACTATGGGCAAGGTCCGAGAAAGACGAGGGGAGCTGGCTGATATGGGGACCGAGATCACCGCAAGTTCACTGTAAGGCTCAGATTTTATCCAGAGAGAAAGGGAAGGAAAATTATGTAGCTGTTTAAGACTCTAGAGCGAAATATCTCGAGTTGCCTGTCGTCTCTGCAGGTAGCTAGTTAGAGAAGCACACTGAGTCCTAAGACAGGGATTTTGGAAAACTTTGGTGCCATAAGGTCTTGATCTGATGTTGATCTTATTAAAGTCACTCGTATCTACCACTAAACACGTAGAAAATAAAAGTATAGAGAAGAAAATAAGACAGACCCTTAATCTAATGCCCAGAGATAGCCACAGTTAAGATTTTAATAATCATCCAAACTTGAGCAGAGCTTTTAAAAACTCCACTAAAATACTCTGAGGTGCATTTATATGGCAACAAGACAAGCTTTTTAACAAACACTTGACCGAATATAAACCTAGTGTTGTTCCCGGTCACACGCTCAGCAGACATTCCTCAGCTGTCTGCTCCCCACCAGCTGCGCCGCCCCCACCCCATACACCGTGGGAGTGGGGCAGCCAGAGGGGAGAGAGGCACAGGCAGAAGTCTGGGCCCTGGGAGGGCAGGGGGGAGGTGTGCAGGGCAGGCGATGCCAAGGTCTGCGCTTGCTGGGAGGCTGTGTGTTCGCCTCACTGGGCAGCTGGCGACGGCGCTCCCGGGACACGGAATGTTTGAGAACACATCGATGCATTTTCCCAAACTGATCTTGGAGTTCTAGAGACTCCCGGAAGCTGAGACGGGAGGTCCGCTTTTATCTGGTTTAATTTTGGGCTTCCAAGTAAAGTTTTCTTTAACAAAAGATTCTGATGCTTTTCAGAAACTTTGAAAAATAGTGGGATATGTGAGAAAAATGATTTTGCTTTTGGAGTTGCCCTGAAAGTTTACAAGCAACAGAAGCAAGCTGCTTTATTATTCTTCAGCCACGTGTGTGCGCACACACAGGGTTTTCCTTTTTAATGTGAAATGGTTTTATTAAAGTGATTATCAACTTTTTCACCAGCCTTTGTCACCGATGACATCAGAGTTTTCCCAGATATCAAATCTACCCTCAAAGGAGGATGTCTTTGCCTTCAGTGAGGATTTTCAAAAGAATATAGGATCTGAAGGCCCTTCGAAAAGTACTGCTCTTAGAACTGTTTTGAGTACTGATAACCTCACGGCAATAAAGCCTGGCCTCTCAAGACAGTCACTTTGATAAAGGCAGCAATTATTTGGCTGTGTGATCTCTGGTGAGCTTAAAAAAAAAAAACAACCCAGCACATTCTACAGTATGATCCTTCCCGGTAGTCATGGCTACTCTTGACCATTTGGTTCATTTATATCTGGCCAGAAATTGTTCAGTGACGCAGTCACTCTGTCCCATACAAGGTTATCAACCTGGTTGACCACACTTCAGAAAACGCGCCTACCACCGTTTCACAGGATGTGGAAGAGAAATACGAGCATGCCCCTGCCAAGCCCGAGGCCCCCGTGGACTCCATGCTCAAGGATATTGCCACCATCATCCTGAGCACCTTCCTGCTCATCGGCTGGGTGGCCTTCATCATCACCTACCCTTTGGTAAAGCTCTGCCCCTTCCCTTTGCCCTCCCGGGTGTTTCTGAACTTCCGTGCTGGTCATCTGGTATCTGTGAGCTCCATGCACAGCAACGCACACGGCAGATAAGCAGATACGTTTCCTTTCACATTTCAAAGTTAGTATTTGCTTATCTTCAGAAACATTGTAGTTAAAAAGACACTAGTTTCTCAGGAAAGGACAATTGTTTTTTGTTTTGTTTTTTTTTAAAGATTTTATTTATTTATT